AAAAAAAAAAAAGGACAAAAAAGGGCAGTACATCATCATGAAGAGTTCGATTCAACAAGAAGGTTTAATCACTCTAAATATATACACATTCAACACTGGAGCTCCCAGACTCTAAAATAAGTACTTCTAGACCAAAAAGACTTAGCCACAAAACAACAGTGGGGGACTTCAGCACCCCACTGACAGCATGCCAGCATTAGACAGATCATTGAAGTAGAAAACAAAGACATTCTGGATTTAAACTCAACACTTGGATCTAATAACAACCACAGAATGCTCCACCCACCAACCAGAGTATTCATTCTTCTCATCTGTACACAGAACATACTCCAAGACAGACCACAAGCTTGGCCATAAAGCAAATCTCAATAAACTAAAAGATAAAAATTCATACCAATCATACTCTCAGGCCATAGTGCAATAAAAACAGAAATGAACACCAAGAAGATCTCTCAAAACCACACAATTACATGGAAATTAAACAACTTGCTCCTGAATGACTTTTAGGTAAACAATGAAATCAAGGCAGAAATAAAAGAATTCTTTTAAATAAATAAAAACAGAGATGTAACATACCAAAAATCTCAGGGATGCAGCAAAAGCAGTGTTAAGAGGAAAGTTCATAGTGCTAAACCTCAAAATACTAGAAATATCTCAAAATAATGATCTAACATCTTCCCCAGAGGAACTAGAAAAACAAGAACAAATGAACCACAAAGCTAAAAAAAGATAGAATGAAATCAGAGTGCAATTGAATGAAATGGGACCCAAAATTCCATGCAAGGATCAATCAAACTAAAAGTTGGTTCTTTGAAAGGATAAACAAGATTGACAGACCATTAACAAGATTAACAAAGAAATGGGAAGATAAGCACAATCAGAAGTGACAAAGGCAATATTACAACCAATTCCACAGAAATGCAAAAGATCCTCAGACTATTATGAATACCTCTATGCACACAAACAAGAAAATCTAGTAACAGGTACATTCCTGGAAAGATTCAATCAGAAAGAAATCGAAACACTGAACAGATCAATATTGAATCCTTAAGGTGAATCAGTAATAAAAAACCTACCCCAAAAAATTCTCAGACCAGATGGATTCACAGTCAAATTCTATCAGATGTACAACGAAGAACTGTACCAATTCTATTGAAATTATTCACAGAAATTGAGGAGGGATGCCTCCCCAATTCATTGTACAAAGCCAGCATCATCCTAATACCAAAACCTGGCAAAGACACAACAAAAGGAAAAAAGCTACAGGCCAATATCCCTGATGAAAACTGATGCAAAAATCCTTAACAAAAATACTAGCAAACTGAATTCAACAGCACATCAAAAAGTTAATTCACCATGATCAAGCAGGTTTCATTTCTGGAATGCAAGGTTGGTTCAACATATAGAAATCAATAAATGTGATTCACCACATAAACAAAATGAAAAACAAAAGCCACATGATCATCTCAACAGGCTCAGAAAAGGCTTTTGATAAAATTCTTTCATGATCAAAACCATTAAAAAACTAGGTATTGAAGGAACATACCTCAAAATAGTAAGAGCCATATATGATAAACCCACAGCCAGTATCATACCAAACACACAAAAACTGGAAGCATGCCCCTCGAGAATTGGAACAAGACAAGGATGCTCACCCTCACCACTCCTATTCAACACAGTACTGGAATGCCAGCCAGAGCAATCAGGCAAGAGAAAGAAATTAAATAAATAATATAAATAAAAAAAGAAGTCGTCAAAACTATCTCTCTTTGCTGATGATATGATTTCAGATCTCAAAGACCCTAGGCCAGGCACGGTGGCTCATACCTGTAATCCCAGTACTTTGGGAGCCCGAGGAGGGCAGATAACTTGAGGTCAGGAGTTCAAGACCAGTCTGGTCAACATGCTGAAATCCCGTCTGTGCTAAAAATACCAAAATTAGACAGGTGTGGTGGCATGCGCCTGCAATGCCAGCTACTTGAGAGGGTGAGACATGAAAATAGCTTGAATGTGGGAGGCGAGGTTGCAGTTAGCCAAGACTGTGCCACTGCCCTCCAGCCTGGGTAACAGAACAAGAGTCCATCTCAAAACAAACAAACAAACAAACAAACAAACATCCCTAAACACTCTGTCAAAAGCCTCCTAGTAACTGATAAATGACTTCAATAAAGTTTCTGGATATAATATCAACGTACAAAAATCAGTAGCACTTCTATACACCAGCAACATTCAAGCTGAGCGCCAAATCAAGAATGCAATCCTGTTTAAAATAGCTGCACAAAAAACAAAACACCTAGGAATACATCTAACCAAGGAGGTGAAAGATCTCTACAAGGAGAACTACAAAGCACTGCTAAAAGAAATCACAGATGACACGAACAAATGGAAAAACATTCCATGTTCCTGC